ATCACTGCAGTTCTCAGCTAAAGCAGTTAAGTGGAGGGCAGGGGGATTAACAAATGAACAGCATGTGAACCCACAAGCTGTTTTTTCCTTTATAGACAGAATTTAGACTTCTGTCTGAAAGACAACCTATCCTTCATCGTATACTATTACCCTGGGGATGCTGAAGCATAGGGCAACAGAGGTGAGCCCAGGACAGCAGATACAGCGCTGAAAGAAGGACTTACTCTTCCTGTGTCATCAGAACACAGGAGACAGTGGGGTGACCTAACACAAGTGATAAAATTAGTAAGGGGACTCACTCTCTTTTTCTGTCACACAGTAGTTTAAAAACTAAAATAGATCCATGGCTTAAAGCTTCCACTGTCATCGTTAAAAATGTAGATTTAGAAGAACAGCTAAGGTTATAAGTAGACCCAATGACTTTAACAGGACTGTTCAAAGCGCATATGTACTCTCCTGGGTAGTAGCTGTGCAACTCCGGCCTCTCAGAAGGCTCCCACAAGGGGGGCCTTTAGAAAGGCCTTTCTAAACTCTGCATCTTATTTTCCCCACTTGTGCCAGGTTTTGGGCAGCCCCAGCTCAAAGTAAATGATCATCAAAATCTCTCACCAGTTGCGAGGATCAGATCAGGAAACAAAATGTAATTCCAAGGCCAATGTCTTTTAATACATTTTAAGAATTTCTGCTAACATTACCTGCTGCTGTACCAGAATCCTTTTTCAAAGAGACTGTGAACTACTGGAACAAACTACCAACTCCGTGTGTCCCACAGAGGTCTCCCAGCACTATTCAAGTTGGTTTAGCTCTTTTTAGCGAGTAAAACTTAGTAAGGTTAATTACTAATTTAACTTAAAATGACAAGAGATATCATAGAAAAACCAGATAATTCCTGGACTTATGCACCCACCTTCACATTAAGTCCTCCCTGCCTAACTTCTCTTTCCAGCATAGAGAAGACACCCATCAGGGAAGTACAGAGAGGACTGCTCTCACTTCATTGATGAGGGACCTAAACTTTCACACATGCATTCATTTATTCATTCTTTAACTCCACTGAAGTCAATGGCATTATATGAGTGACCAAATGCATGCTCCTGTTTCTGCAAATTACTATACTGGCTCTAAGGCAAGTCTAAAGGCATAGAGGAGACGCACAGCTATTCTGAAACCATAAAGACTGAATGTGGGTATGTCCGACTGTGGCAAATTCATTCATACGTTCGTCTCACGTACACAGGGGATTAGAGACTCTCATTATAGCCTTGGAAGTCTTTGCAGAGTGAGGGGAGATCCTTCAGCATCCCAGCACCTAAAGATGGAGGCTTCTAGTTTGAGATATCAAGGCTGCATAAGCAGTTATTCTGCAGCCAAGAGTCAAATATTTAATGAGCTTTAAATGTGTCAAATATAGACCAGAATAAAAAAATCGTTTTAATATTGCCATTTTTCAGTGGGACTAAGGGGACAGAAGTGCCACTATACAGTTTGGGATTAACCAACCTTCTGCAGAAATTTTTTGTCCGCAAATTAGGTCTTTCAAAATGATTTGGTTTGTTTTGTCTATCACAGTCCAAACAGTTCCAACTATGGAAAATTATTTATTAAAATTAAATCAGAATTTTATATCATTATGTGGCAGGCTTAAAGCAAAACTTTGCTGATACACAGCACCTGCTGGACTGACTTAAAACATTCATATTGAGTAAATCAGCAACCACCTATCCGATGGTATCAACTATCACTAATTAAATGCAAATCGTGCTATAGTCTACAGTGCAAAGCAAAGTCTTTGTATCTTAATATGCAGTTATTTTGTGCCCCGATGCTTGTTTAATAAAGATATTATTTTCTAATACCTTCCCTCTCAAACTTCAATATAAGCTTCGAACGTGATGTTATCTTTCATTTTCCACATCAAAATAAGGTATAAACTTCACGTTCCAATTTTATTTCTAAGAAAGCTTACCATTTCAGGAGCCATCTTGATCCAGATCTCACAGCTCCTGCTTGCCCATCAATCTCTGATTTGGGGCCCTCTCACGCATCTTTTGAAATACCCAACTCTTCTGTGTCTACCAACGCTCCTTTATCAATTACAGCTTTAGTATCTTCAAAGAAACCTCGCAGGTCACTTAAGCGTGGCCTCCCCACCAGCGTCCACGAAAACTATCTTTAAACAAGCTTCCTAGTTTTTAACATACACTTTCAGATGACTTCTAAGGTCCTGTACCACCCTCCTGCAGATGCCCAGACAAGAAGGGAAACTGAAGTGACTGAAGCTGCAAGATATCCCTTTCATCCCCACAGTCACCTTAGATCTCAACACTGAAATTCCTAAAGAAGAATCACTGATGTGGGGTAAGGTAACATGGAAGGCAGGAGCTAGTGAGCTAGGAAAGTGCCTCTGCAGTTGTGGATGTGACCAGAAGGACCCACTGGCCTAGGATTCACAGGTCCTTAAACCTCTTCCCCGGGTTCCCTGCCTTCCTCAGCCTTGTAACTCTCAGAACCTACTCTACCTTCTAATTGATCCCCAGATCTATTATTATCAAAAGTAGTGACTTACTATGATTACAAAATAATTGTCACTTGTATTACTTCTACCAACGAGTCATCATCCTCTTTTCCTTTCTTAATGCCAGGCTTGGGTTCACAGACCTGCCCTCTTCTCCCTTTGTGCCCTCTATCCGGCAATTCTCAAGGATTTTAGATAGCATTTCTGTGCTTGTGACGCTCAGGTTTCTCCCTCTGTCATCAACCTTTCTGCCTCTGTTCAATCCCAACGCTCAAGTGGCTGTCTGGCATCTCTTCCTGGAGATTTTGTCACCAGTTTATGCTAGCTGAAGAGCAGTGTTGCCTTGGTTTAGCCTCACTTTCCCTTTTCTCTCGTCACTGCTGACAGCAGTAACGTACTCCCCATTTCCACTATCTTCCTTCCCTTGTCCCACGAGTCACACACAAATAGCACCCAGCTCCTGGGCCTTCCTTCTGCCCCCACCAGCTTCAAGACTAATCTGTTATCATTTACACAGACAAATCTGCTGTTTAGGCCTCTCTAGTATATCCTACCACAACCACTGCAAAGTTCTCTTCTCTGCATCCCAAACGCACAGTGCTCCTCTGCAAGCCAAGGAAGCTGTGGATGGCCAAACACCTCCTCTCACAAACCTGACCGCACCACTTGCTCCTTGGCAGCCCTCCACTTGTTATTCACCTGCTGTTCCAGCAGACCCGAATCTCTGTCCTCCTTCAAGGCTCAGCTTAACTGTGTTCCCCCAGTCTACCTTCTTCCGTTGACCACTAGGTTGTCCCTACCACTTCTGCACTCCAGCAGCATTCTTCAACCATATCCCCTTCAATCTTGTGTTTCTCCACCTCATCCACTCATCGTGACACGACCTCCTGCGATTCATCCACAGGGGCTCAGCTTTCCAGGCTCTCTCGTAAGCCCACTCCTCCTGAGATGCTGGCAGCAAATAAACCCAAATACAGAACGTGTCCACATACCTCTGTTACTTCCCTTCCACACAACCATCTCCCCGCTGTTCTTCAAGCTCCTCGCAGGGCAGCAACTGGTCTTTTTGTAGATGTGAAGCTTCTCTTGGCATTCTTTGTGAATTAACGAGAATAAAAAAGAATAAACAGCACGAACCCAAATCGCAGCCTACTACCGACCCGGGTGTTAGGGAAAAGACAAGTGAGCAGTAGGAAAAACGGAAGACAAGATGGAGAAATGGAGCAGGTGTGTGGGACCACGTAAAGGCGTGATGCGGTTGGAAAGGCAAGCCCCGGGCATCCCCGCTCATGACGTAAGACACGTACGCCCGGGGGGTCGTGAATCTTGCCCTTCGGCGACCCCGGCCCACGAAGGGCGAGACCAGCCATGACTGGCTTCGGCAGCGCTAGGGAGGGTCACTCAGAGCCGAGCGGGGGGCAGCACCGGAGACCCCAGCGCTTCCCGAAGGGGATCCTCAGCGCCGCTACCGCGCCGCTGAAGGAGCCCGGTTACTCGGGACGCGAGCGGAGGGGGAGGGCGCTCTTCCCCCCAGCCGGGGGCACCGGAGCAGGGAGCCCTGCCCCGGCAGCGGCACGGGAACACGCGGCGGGGCGGCCGAGGGACCGCGGGGG